AAGTATTTTCATGCATACTTATGGTAGATTACGGTGATCTAAATGTCCAAATTTGTCATTTTTATTAATGGTTAATAGATAAAAATAGGGAAAGTATAGAATGAGACAATGTACTTTTGGTACAAGGCGAGATATTAATATTGAGCATTGGATGTGAAATTGGGTGATTGTAGTTATTCCACCAAGCTTAAACTTAAAAAATAATAATTCTCGAACTTTGTGACACATCCAAATTATTAAACTTCATATTGGATGGTCGTAAGTAATTGTAACCACCTTGTATCAAATGTAAATGATTTCATTGTGCACAATCCCATAAAAATAGAAGCCTTTTTCACATTCAATGGATATATTATTTTCATAGTTTATTTTCCCCAATTACTTTTGATTCAATTTCCATAAATTGAAGAGATGACAATATAGGCACTAGCTTTGCTTTCACAATAAGTCCTCTGCCATATTTTTATGGAAAACAATAGATAGCTAAAACTAGAAGAGTAAAGAAAAAGGGACCGTGTGCTACAATAATAAATAAAAAAACAAAAAAAAAAAATCTTAATATATTTAGGCCAGAAGTTGATATTTGGCGCCGACTACCTAACGGATATGTTGCTTATTCCAAAATGACCATACCGCCCCTTGCATTGTATACAGGCAAATAAAATGAACATTAGCATTCAATTACTTAAACAAATGACAATTTTATACTTAAAATTTTCATGAACGACAATCTTAATTGATTGATAAAGTTTCCAAAATTAAAAGTGTCTATCTTCAGTTTAAATTTCTTAAATGTTTTATCCAAAATCTATTTTTCAAAACATATAATGATATGGATAGGAAATGTGAGTTGATGATGGCTTATATTAGGTTCATCCATGAAACCAGTGATGCAAAAAATGTCGGGTCGACAAGGAATCGCTCGGTCAGACTTCATAATCATTCTCCTTGTTCCAATTTTGCATATTATATAGGAAAACCGAGTATAGAATGCAACTGGTAGTTCCACATGTAAAACTACGATTCTCTACAGTAAAACGGCAAGATTCTCTACAGTAAAACGGCAATCCATACTGTTTTTTGGCTGGTTCACTATTTATTTCACAAAGTAAAACAACAATCCGGACAACAAATTCACTAATTCAGACTTATTTTTTAGGTGGCCGACCTAGGTCACCGAACTGTTTTTTAAATCACTTCATAAATTAGGTAAATTCAAACAATATTTCGCATGGTAAAAAAATGTTCTCCCGATATCTTATATTTTACATTGAAGTCTATTTTTTCTTGTATTATTTCAAAATACTCCTAGTAAGGAACTAACAATTCTTTATTGGTTCATGCACACCACGTCTGTCTAGCTCCAAACCAATGTTTTTATCATTGCTTTGGAGCTACCAGTTCTAAAAACTATTCAAAATTGGCAGTTCCAAACTAGTGGGTTGTATGTACTACAGTGTCTTTTACGCAAAACCATCAAGTTTGACGCCTGAAGCTACGTGATAAAAAATTTCAGAACTGCTAGTTCCAAACTGATTTTTTTTTTTATACAAAAATTGTTTTAGAAGTGACGATTCCCCTTATAACGACACCAGTTTAGAACCGGCCCGCCCGATCCGAACCGGTGGCACTCTACCGAGTAAAAAGGTCAACAGGAGATGAGATCGTAAAATATAAAATATTGAGAAAATTTTAATTGTGCCAATTATAGAGAATACTAGTGTAAATTTTCCAACAAAATATAATAGATAATTTAGAGAGGTTAATTACTCCCGCCAAATAATTTTATAATGGAATTCATTTCATCCATAAACAAAATTTAGACTACATTGCTGGAAAATTAAACAGATATTAAAGTAATTATAAATGTCCATCAAAAATCTTAGAAATTCATTTTCCATCTAATTTATCAGATGGAGGAGCATGGCTATGTTTGGTGGTTCTTATTTTGCTGAACCAAAATATCTTCATGGACAAGCCATTTGTAACACGTGATATCCATTTTGAACTTTTTATTTTGTTTTAAGTTGAAAGGTCCCCCCCCCTTTTGTCTTCTAAAATTAGCAAATAAGAGAATATCTTTTTTGGGCAGATATATAAGGTTAGGGGTGGGAATGGACAGGGACCCGAGGGGTAGCCCGATCCGGGTTTGTGTATGGGTTCAAAATTGAAGCCGATAGGTTGGATTTGGATCCGATAATATTTTTTGAGTCTTAATGAATAAAATATAGTTAAATACATAAATATTTTAATTTTTTAGATCGGATCCGATCAGGTCCAGTCAGGTCCGAGTCTAGATATGGGTCCCACACTATATTTGGTCCAGATCCGGTGAATTTGTGCTCGGTCAGGTCCGGGTTTGGGTCAACCGTTGCCACCCCTATCTAAGGCGAACTAAAAAAATTAAAATATAAATTTGTTTTTTTGAGAATTTGAAGAAAGCCCCATCATGTCATAAATTGATGACAACTGTTTTAGCCAACAGGGAAAATTCATTTAAGGAAACTTGAGAGAAAAAATAAATTATAATCATGAAAAATAGAAAAGCCAACGGCTTCTCATTCCTCACAAGAACTCCACCTATACATTATTTATTACACACAGTACGTGTATGCACATCCCCCTTTCTATAATCAGCAAACGGCCCCTAAAACATATCCTCTCTCTCTCTCTTCCCGAGCATGTTCTTTATTACAAGACAGGGAGATGTGCCAAAATCATAAAGGAGTCACATGCTACTACTTCAAAAGAGAACAAGATGCTAATTCCTCATTTTTTTTTGAAGGTTTATTATCACTCTTCTCGTTATGGGGTTGTTAGAAACAGTGTAAGAAGGATCGAGTCGGGCTGAGTAATTGGTCATGGCCAGAGCCGATTTGTTGGGCAGAGTCTTACTCGGCCCCATTAGTGTCTTATAAAGTCTATAGGGTAGTACCTCATTGTTAAGTAAGAATACTACCTTGTGAAATTATTAGGCCATAATCACCTAGATTTTGACATTGTTCATGCTCCTTGCCTCTTTGGCATGTGTGTTGCCCTTCATCAGCACTGTCATCGTCCTGAATAATTAGCCTACAGCACCCGTTACTAGTGCATCTTTATCTAGGGGTGTAGTGGCTATGCATTACTCTCTAATCCAAGCCCTTCTTTTTTCCTAGTGGAGGTCCTAGTAGCCTAGGGCACCTCCCACTATACGATAGTTGGCTCACGCCAATCATCTCATGTTACCCTATCATCATTGTCTTCATCGTTGCCCTTATCGAAGTCGTCATCGTCTTCCGCAACTTCTACCATGTTCCATTTGTCGGTTGCCGGAAAGTCCATTTAATTGATGGAGATTCTCTTCCCATCTCTTTCCAACATTAGTAAGAAAAAAAACATCCATACTGGAGCACAACGCACTTAAAAAAACAAAGAGCCTATGGGGGTCTGCAAAGTCCATTATTGGACCTACAAAAAGCTCTTTAACACGCTTTATCCATAACAGGTCAGAAATCATTCATTTCTTCTAATAAATCACTGATTAGTCATACAAATAAGCCGATTAGTATGTAAATTGTTCGATTTATTTAAGTAAATCAGTCGATAAATGCAAGGTAGGAGTATCTTCCAATAGGTAGCCTATAAAATCAAAACTACTTGAACTCGACGAGTTCTCGAGTCTGAGTTAATCGACAAAGTTGAAAAATATCAGCCAACTTTTCCAATACTGGTTAGAGAGAGAGAGAAGGGAACCTGCTCTAAGGGGGGGGGAGAGGGAGAGGGAGAGGGAGAGAGTAGAGTAGAGAGGGAGAGATAGACAATAAAAAACAATGTTGGCAGAGAGTAGAGAGAGAGAGGTTTATGTAAAAAAAAAAATGTGCTACTTTGTCACCCATCAATGGTTAGTAGTACATCATTTTCTTCAAATTAGAGGTATTGTAGAGAGAGAGAGAAGGGGTCTTCAAATTGGAGTTATTGTAGAGAGGGGGTGTTAGAGAGAGAGAGAGAGAGAGGGGGGAGGACTAGAAATTTGAGAGGGGGGAGGGGGCCTGTTAGAGAGAGAAGTTGGTGATTCCCACTCGGTTAGCGTATCATTTTCCACGATCTGCCTCTACTACTTAGAGAGAAAGAGAGAGAGAGAGAGAGAGAGGATGGTGTGTCATTATCTTAATGCTTAATTAACAAAGCTCATGGAGCCTTAACCTCAGTTTATTTACATTTTTGTCATTTCCTAGAAAAGGATATAATCCCACTCAATTTTTCTGAAACCAAAAAGCAATTCGTAATTATTCCCCCTTTTCTCGAAAATAAAAAAGTCTCCTTCCCTTGTTTTTAATAAAAATGGGGTCAGTTTCGGAATTCGCCACATTTTAAACCAATTGGCTCCATTCCCTGTCTCTTTTTTGTTTGACTTACCAAACCAAAACCACTGTTCAAATTCCTCTTAATCATTTCCCATTTTCTCTTTGACCTCTAAAAAAAGGCCCAAATTTTTTTTAAAAAAAACCTAAAAAAAAAATACTTTTTTTTCCTTTTACCTTAAAAAATAGGTTGCGATAGGTATAAAACCTAGGTTATAAACAATCAAAATAAAACCTGCCAACAAATAATGTCGAAAAATGTGGTTTCAATGCTAGAAATATTTCTATATTAAAACATATTTTTATTTTTATTTATAAAGTTTAGAGCTTTAAAACTAATGTAGATTGACATATCTATAAAAACTTGAAAATATTGAAAATTGACAATTTAAAAATATATTACAAAATATACTATTTTTAAAATTTGAAATACATTTCTTCTATCTTTTTTATATATCTTGATGTCAACATGATCAATTTGAATATATTTAGGCATCAAAAACAACTTCTTCTAGTTAAATTTATGTATTAGGCTCCAATTTCATTGTTTAGAACCTCAGCTTTATATAAGTTTTTAACTAAAAAAAAAAATACTACTTTTCCTGATAAACCATCCCATCAAAACCCATAGTTTAATTCATTTAATTATTTATTTCCTTTCCATTTCTATGCTTCTCTTTTACTGTTTGTGCTCTCACCCCATTGTTTGCGACCTAGGGCATCATCACCTACCACTGATAACTCCTTTTCTTCTTATTTTTCTCCTCCGTGTCCCTTATTTCTTTTGCGAAGGGCCCTCAAATCACAGAGAGAGATCTTTTAGGGTTAGGGTTTTGGAATCAGGGGAGGGGATTGTTTGAGTTTGGATTCAGGAAACCAAACCAGTTGGCCCACATTCTGGTTTCTTTGGCAGCTGCCCCCAAACCACCTGGTCCAAGTGGGTTTCTTGGAAATGGGGGCTTTTTCATGGTTTGTTGGCTATGGGATGGGTTCAAATTAGGCTGGGGGGCTTTGATCTCTCATAGGTTTGGGTTTGGTTTTTTATGGGCTGGGAGTGAAGGGGTTGTGATAAGAGGGTGAATGCAACACTCTGGAGGTGTTACAGTGGAGATCTGGGTTGCTGGGCCTCAAGTAAATCAGGTATAAAGCTCTGATTTTTTAGATTTTTCCTTCTAGTTCTTCTTTGCTGTATTCCTTGGCTTTGAATTTTGAAGGTTTTTGGCGTTGGCCTTGGTGGGTGCTTCCAAACTTTTCTATAAGATTGTTGCTTTGGGAAATTTTTGGTTTTCTGTATGTTAATGGTTTCACGTTTCCTTTTTTTACTTCCTCTATTTGCATTCACTTGGTTCAGGAAATGGGGAAAGATTTGGGTGTTAATGGTTGTATAATGCTGCTAAATTCTGTGGGAATTCAATTTGATGTTATTGACTCGTGATGTTGGGGAAGAGTCTATAGTTCGAGACTATGATCGATGTATCTGAATTTGATCCCATCATGAATTGTTTCACTCTGAATAATGTTTTAGGGAGGGGGGAGGGAGAAGTGTACTCATTTCAAAACATACTTTTGATCAAGAAGGGAATTGACTGTCAATGTAGTGAGAAACCATGGATCAAGAAGGCTATGTACTTCTGTAGATATCTATGCTTGTTGCTACTGGCCACCCTGTTAAGATTTGTTATTCTTTCGGGAAGGAAAATTGTATCATTTTTTCTCTTTCATATATATATATATATATAGTCTGTAATGTTCTTGCTCTTGCTAAGCCTGCATTAGCCACGTATAAGAATGGAGACATAGCGGCAGTTTCATATCAGAAAACTGTCCAACAGTTTTGTAGCTGCATTGCTTCGGTCACCTCCTCACATTTGTTTAATAGTTAATAGTATCTATAGTGGTTGCAAACTTTAATGCGACATCTTTCTTCATCTATTAATTTGTGTCATTTAAATGAACACCCAATTTTCCCTTTCGAGGATTGAAAACATATTGCTTGTTGGAAAGAACTCCACAAACTTGATGCCATTTAGTGCTGTTTCAAAAGCTGAAGTTTCATATATTAGCTCATTCATTTCTTAATTGCCCTGTTCACCCTCCAGCCATGGTTTTTAATTTTATTAAGCAGTAAAGAATTCATGTATAATCTTTTATGAGTTAATGCAGATGTCTGATACACAATACTTGAGAAAAGATGAATCTAACAAAACTCTCTCTCTCTCTCTCTCTCTCTCATGCATATTCCAGTAATAGAAATCTGAAATTTGTCCCTTTCACTTTTGTCAGGATGTCGCTTAATTCCCAATTGTCCCAAAAGACGTCTATTTTCAGTCTCAAGCTATGGGTTGTGATTGGGATAGCGCTTGGTATCTTCATTGTTTTGATTCTTTTGCTCTTATCCTTATGGCTTACTGCTCGGAGAAAATCAAAAAGAGCAGTTGAGAAGCTCCCCATTACCCAAATTCCAAAAGTCTCAAAAGAGATTAAAGAGGTGAGAGTGGAATCCCGGGATTATACTCACCGTGATGGGGTTCTCCTCACCGTTAATGACAAATCAAGCGATAAAGAATCAGACAAGGTTATGATGCATTTAGGTATGGGAAAATTCGATAATGCAGATATAAACAGCCGATCAGGTTCATTTAATCATACTGAGAAAGGTGCTGGATCACAGTCAGGAGATGAGGGTGGTTCAGCCACCGTTTACAAGCCTTCCTCTTCACATCCATTAAATGTCGCTTCTCCATTGACTGGTTTGCCTGAGTTTTCTCATCTTGGTTGGGGTCATTGGTTCACTTTGAGAGACCTCGAGCTTGCTACTGGTCGGTTCTCAAAGGATAATGTTCTTGGGGAAGGTGGATATGGGGTTGTTTACAGAGGTCAGCTTATCAATGGAACACCTGTGGCAGTCAAGAAAATCCTTAACAATTTGTAAGTTCCATTTGGTCTTTTTTTGTTATGCCGTGAGTGGCATTTTGCTTGATTTTCATATTGGACTTTGTTTAGTGGTCTGGTGTATTTATTTTTTAGTTTTACAAATAGTTTCTTGGGTGTTTCAGAGGCCAGGCAGAGAAAGAATTCAGAGTGGAAGTTGAGGCCATTGGTCATGTGCGTCACAAAAACTTAGTGCGCCTTCTTGGCTATTGCGTTGAAGGAACTCATAGGTATGAGCAGGCCATTATGTTGCCTTTTTTTGTTCCTTTCTTTGGCTTTGTTCGTCACTTAGTGTAGACTTGTTGTCACTTGTCCCTATGCTAATACCTTTTGCATGCATTTGTTTTCCATTTTTAGGGATCAATTTGCAAGGATTTTCATTAATTAGATGCATAAGTCTGGATTAGCTGCTATGTGCATTAGAGTTGCTATTGGAGCGACTTTCTCATTGCATAGATATCTTTCATTTTTGAAGTCAAGTTATACCTGGTGTCTGATTTTCTTATTCTGTATTACTGGGGGTAAAAAACAGGATGCTGGTATATGAATATGTCAATAATGGGAATTTAGAGCAATGGCTCCATGGGGCTATGCGCCAACAAGGGTTTCTTACTTGGGAAGCTCGCATGAAGGTCATCCTTGGTACTGCAAAGGCGTAAGTCATTCTACCGTTGTTTTTTGTTCACTCATTTTTTCCCTTTTCTTAATGATTGATGAGGTGCTCTGGAAGACCAAAATGTAATTATGAATACTGCCGCCTTCTTCCAGTCTTGCATACTTGCACGAGGCTATCGAGCCAAAGGTTGTTCACAGGGATATTAAATCAAGCAATATTTTAATAGATGAGGAATTCAATGCCAAGGTATCTGATTTTGGGTTGGCGAAACTTCTTGGTGCTGGAAAGAGTCATATTACAACCAGGGTCATGGGCACCTTTGGGTAAAGACATCTCACTGCATTTTATTCTTGATCTATGTTCATTTGTTGGTATCCTAGTAACTGGTTTTAATTGAGAGCTCACAACGTAAAGGAATTAATTGCCCTAATCCATTTTTTTTCCAGTTATGTGGCTCCAGAATATGCAAATACAGGGTTGTTGAATGAGAAGAGTGACATTTACAGCTTTGGTGTTGTTTTGTTAGAGGCAATTACTGGCAGGGATCCTGTTGATTACGGTCGTCCTGCTAATGAGGTAAATGAAAGGCTTAATCTCATTTACTTCAACAAAAAAGCTCGAGCCCATCTGCATGAAGTTTAACATTGTTCAAATACTTGGTGAGTCAAAGCATGAGGAGCTGATTTCACTGAACTTTCTCAATTAGTGAGCTCATACAAATGATATCTCCGTATGAGGTTCCTTTCGTGATTTATGCTGTTTGTTTTGAGTGGTATCTCGAAAGCCTTAGTCTACCGGACTATGAAATGCACTATTTCTCGAGCATCTATAGCTCCAGCTTGAAGTTTTGTACGTGAAACATCACATCCAAGAAAAGTAATGACATGATGGAAAATACGACAAACAAAGGAGGCATATGCCCCACTTCCCTATTGCATCCCTTAACACCCTAATTTGCTAGTATATTTACTTAAATAAAGTTAAATGCTAACATGATTTAAACTTTAATGTAACAAATACCAAGGAGGCATATAATCCTGCATCTTGCCTCATTCCAATCAACTCCTGATTTTTCTAGTGTATTTGCGTCTAAATTAATCTTGCTTGAATTCTATTAAAACACTGGTGAAAAAAATAAAAATAAAAATAAAAAAAATTTGGATTTCCTTGAAGTTTGCTTAAGCATCCATGGTAAGGTGTGCTCCCAATAAGCCATCTCGTTATGGTCAAGAAGCTCAATCACCAAGGAGGCATATAATCCTAACAGCAACTTATGCTGTCACACTCATATCCATGATTTCTTACTACAATTTGATAAGTTTGATTCTTTATGGCATTACAATAATTTTATGCAGCGTTACAAGTTGGACAAAGACATAACCATCTGTGTGTTTTTGTTGTTGCAGGTAAATCTTGTGGATTGGCTGAAAATGATGGTTGGAAGTAGGCGCTCGGAAGAAGTGGTGGACCCCAACATGGAAACCCGACCATCAACACGAGCACTCAAGCGAGCCCTCTTGGTTGCCCTACGATGTGTGGATCCAGAATCCGACAAGAGACCCAAGATGACGCAAGTCGTACGCATGCTTGAGGCTGAGGAATTCCCTCTTCGTGAGGTTTGGTCTCTCATCATATTTGTTTTCTGCATCTCTTGTTCTCTATTTAACTTTTCAGTTGTCATGTGTTTGTGACAACGCTTAGTTGCTCTTATTCTAAAAAAAACTGCATATGGTTCATGAGTGAGGGAGGGAGGGAGGGAGCGAGTTGGCATGGATCTTCTTGATCTACCAATGAAAACATTGACATCCGACCTTTCCTTGGGACTTCCTGAAATGACCTTTTATCTATTATCATATATATATATATATATATATATATATATATATA